CACTGATACAAGACTAACCAAATAACCAAGATACTAATGTTGGAAAAAAAAAGTGAAAGTGGTATGACTTGAAAGTAACAAAGTATCTTAAATTATAAGGAACTCGATAAATATAGTCTGTAGCTTTTCAAAAAGTTAACCGATCTGCAATATGTGGCATTCTTTATCTACAAAAGTATTACTGTACAAATAATATTTGTAAAGTTTCTGATAAATTATGAATACCTATAACTGTTCTAAAACAATAAAGGAGATGTGGGTAAAGCATATAATAATTGGCATACTCAAGTTTTGTATTTTTCAGCACACAAAATCAGAAAATGGACAGAAATATACAAGTTGTCTCTTTGGTAAGTAAAATCACAGGTGATAATTAAAGTAGACTCTGAATACTGAATAAGGATACAAAAAGGAATCAAATTTGTTCAACTAGTGGGATTGAAGACTTTTACAAAATGATCCAATAAAGAATGATGTGATTAAATTCATTATCAATCTTATCGTGGTGGAAAATTATACTTATTAGCCACAAGTTGAACCATTTTCTAAAATTTTTACTTGTTACACTTAATAACAAAGTCATTTTTAATACCTTTAATGATACAGAAATCAAAATGCTTTTCTACACGTAGCTTACAAAATCCTAGAATCAAATCATGCCAACTTTTCTACATTCCAGCAAAATCAAATGCAGATCCCATGTTTTTATTTTTTAAACAAGATACCACTCTTTCTGCACTATTTCCAGCAAAACAAAAACATTTTACCCATCAAGGTTCACTCTTCTTTTTTATCAAATCCAATCAATCAAAGCATCCAAAACCAAACTAAATGCCTATGTTTTGCATCCATTTCACACTACCATAGATAAATAAGTGTGGAAAGCTTCATTTTTCATAATACTACCATGTAAAGAAACCCAATAATATATGTTCAATAATTCTGTTTTAAAAATGTTAATTGAGACCCATGGATTAGCATTTAAAGATGCTTGAGACTCATGGATTAACATTTAAAGATGTTTGATTTAGAAAGAAATTATGATGGTAGTATCCATGAATTCTGAAAGGCACATAAAGGTGCAGTGTTATATTATTGGATTATTTAAAATGAGAATATTATTGTCACTACAGAAGACTGGTAGAGGTTCCCTTTTTCTAGGAGGTGGATTAAAGAAGATTTTAAAACCATGATTTTCTTCAGAGTTTCAAAATCAGATCAAAGATCAGATAAGTAATCCTCCATCTTTCGTTCCTGATAAGTCGGTATAATTTGGGCAAATGCTTGAAGATTGAAGAGTTGCTGGTGTTACTTCTATTTTTGAAGAAGGTATTAATAATTTTACTCTGGAAATTATAAGCCATTTATTGTTACTATTGCAATGAGAAAAAATTCTAGAGTTTGAAACAAGAAGCTTTGCAAAAACATTTACTGAAATATAATATCGTAAAAGAAAGTCAATATGGTATTCACCACAGGAAAAGTTTGCCTTACTACCTTACTAACCCGTTATATTTTTTCTGAGGATGTTAGTTGTCATCAGAACATTGAAACAAGTGTGGACTTGATGTACTTAAATTTTCCAAAAAAAGCTTTTTATAATGTGCCACACAGATAGTTAGCTAACGAGATAAGTAAATTTTAGATTAATTGGATGAAATAAAGCAAAAAGCTGTTATGGTATCCAATCAAAATGGACCATTATTATCAGAGTGCTTTCCCTAATCAACATTAAGACTACTGATACAATGATAGTAAAAATCAGTAAGTTAGCAAAGTTTGCCAATGACATTAAACTCTTGGATATTTCTAGCTATATTGAGATGTTGAGGTACTACAGAATAGTCTGAATCAATTGCCAAGTTGGACAAATACTTGGCAAATGACCCTTAATTACAGTAAGTGCATGGTAATACATTTGGGTTATCATGATTTGGGTCACACATCTATATTACATAGATTGAAACAAACTAAATAGCATGAGTGAAGAAAAAAATCTTAGCATGTTGGTGGATATGTCACTCAAGCCATTTCAGTAATATTCTTGCTAGCAGTAAAACTAATAAAATTTAAGGGGTATTGATAGACACAGTGATTAAAAGTCAAAAGAGGTAATTATCTCTTTATATAAATTTCTAGTTAGACTTCACTTGGAATACTGTGTACAGTTTTGGTCTCATCTGAAAAAGGATGCTGATTTATTAGAAAAGGTTCAGAGCAATGCTACTGAGATGATTCCTATAATAGAAGGGTTATCTTAGAGGAATTGGTTAAGATCTTATTTTTCTCCTGAGAAAAAAAGAAAGAAAAAAGAGCTGATCCTGTTGAAGTTTACAGGATTATCCATGAGATCGATAATATAAAGGCCTCTGATTTGTTTGTGTTGTATTCTAAAGACAACAGGATGAGAAGAACAAGCTTCAGATTTGAAAAATACATGCTAGGCTCCAGTTACGACAATTTTATTTTTTAACACTAACATGGAGATTGGCTTATGCAAAGAGTTACCATTAGAAGAAGACTAGAAGCCAACACTTTTATTGCAAGATTTGAAATAAAAATCCAAGTGGAAACACTTTTGATGAATATAACTTGAAAAGACACACTCATTATCTCAAGGTGAAGCATATTTCAACTAGGCAGTAACAAATCAATACAGTAAGAGCCTGAACCCAGAACACCAAGTTAATGAAACACTGTTTTACTAACGTAGTAACTATTATAATACTAACACCAACAGAGCATTAGAGGCTACATGTACTTAAAAGTTATACTATAGTCATAAGTAAATTATAAGATATTTAGTTATAAATATTACTATTAGAACCTTGTACCTTTGTGTCTAACAATATGTCGCCCTTTTCACTAGCTTACTACCATGAAACGCCTGTATAAGTAAGTATCTGCAACGCTTACAGAAAAAGTTATTGAACTGTATATATACGTATACATGGTTATATTATTATACTATTTTACAGAGCTCACAAGTAAACAACTTAGTGATAAACTTTGACCAGTTAGATCTACTATCACATAAAATTAAAAGTAACGCAACCTGGATTATTAAACGCTGTCTTTTAATTTTATATTTTACCATATAAAACACTCGTTTAAACAGAGGTAAGAAGCAGTTCTTTCTTATTCCTAAGTAAACATTTTGATAAAAATAAAGAGGTTTATTATTGTTAAAACAGCTAGAATGCGAAATATCTATTTATACTAGCGAAGTAAAATTTTATATGAAAAGAACTCAATGGAAACCGATTACTGATTGGCTTTTCACAATATTATAAAATTATATCATAGTTCTATAAAATGTTCAGAACGATCACACATTGATATTTTGTTAATTATTTATAGTTATTATTGTTGCACAATAAACTTTAATTTGATGAACCTACAAATACAGTGTTTGATTTGTATTTTTTTTTAATTTCGCGTAAAGGTACACAAGGGTTAGTCAACAAAACCCACTGCCAACTCTTGCGCTACTATTTTACCAACGAAGTAGTGGGATTGACCGTCACATTATAGTGTCCCATGGTTGAAATGGCATGCATGTTACGGTGAGGGGATTTGAACCCGCGAACCACAGATTGCGAGTCAAGCGTCCTAACCACAAAACACCTTTTTATCGCAATGCATAAACAACCACACCCGGGCATTTACGAGTTAAAGAGAATGTATGGGAAGATACCCACAAGCATCTATCCAATATATTCATTAAGAGACTACTAAGCAAACTGATGTGGGATCACATGGGTTTGAAAGGCATCTTATCTCTCACGGAGGCAGTTTCTATGGAAACAGTGATCATGTTGAACAATGGACTGGAGCAGGAGAAGAAACCAGCAACAGTGGAATCATTTATAAGACAACCTTTAGGGTCAATGACGGCCACCAAAGCTTTTAAAAACATCGACTGCCAGTTCCACCAGCTTCCATGCGGCAGATTCTGTAGCCACCATGGTTTTCTATAGAACAAATAGGGCGTCAATGGTCTAGTTGCTATGAGGCAGGGTGTGAGTGAAAGAGATTCTGTTTCAACTCTAGCTTATCTGGTCTCTGATTTTACAAATGTTCATATTCTGTTGCTAGAGAAGACCAAAGGATGCAAATACCATTCAAACTGGCACTGTAACAGATCCAGGAAGGTCAGTAATGATAAATGGCTGTTGTAGACCCTAGTGATTTAAACTGATAGATCTTCAGAAGGATGTAGCCACCATCTTGGGCAAGTGCAGCAATTGGCTCACACTTAACATTATGGTGGTTGGTTAGGAAACTGTGGATTTGGTGTCTGGCGTACGGAATGTGCCAATATTGATACATGAATGTGAGGTTAAAATTTCGGTGGAAACTGACACAGTCAGAACATTAATTAACTTTGCTGTATATCAGACACTCCATGTTAAGCCACCACTTTTAACACAAATTTCAATCTGGCAAATGTATGTAAGTGTGTCTCCAACTTTTCTTGGTAATGTCTTAATATCTTAAGGATGGATCTACTGCAGGAATTTTCAGCCATTTGCTCTGGGAACATTGTGCACATGCATATTGAAAAGGAAGGTAGTTCTCCCAATTTACAAGTGGTATCCTGTGGTGTACTATACATGCAGTCTAATACATTCTTACTATGTGATGCAGTAATAGAACCAATGCATCAAGCACCATTTTATGTTTGGAAAGCAAGCTTCTCTTGCTTGAACAGTGATCTGTTTAAGTTTAGATATTGTATTAGTGCTAGTCTGTAACTAGTGGTATTCAGCTTTCAGCTGGAATGGTCATTGGTACGGTAACAGAGGCAGAGGTGATATAACTAGCCGCCTAGGTAGCTTTGCAGCCATTGTATCGTGTCTGAGAATGAATACATATCTTCTAAAATTTCTGAAGTTTCTAGTTGAGTATCATGCAAGCAATCTGAATTGAACAGAGACATGCTCAAGTAGTTTGCTGATGTATTCATAAGACCATGAACAATTTGGCCGGACAATAATCACACATCATCACATAGATACAGGTAATATGTCCCCAATAAAACAATTGTCACAGAGGCTTCCTTGAAGCTCCATGGAAATAGTCAGCACTGAAATTGAGCTGATGTTTAAAGTGCAGGCTAAAACATACTTTTACAGTGCTTGGTTATCTTCAGAAATAAAGTCAAGGTTCTGGGTGGTATTCAAAAGGGTGAACTCAGTAACATATTAGGTCGTCAAGTAATTAACGAAAATACCCGAACAACTTATATATCAAAACAAAACGTTTAATAAATGAAATAGTCTTCATTCTTATCAATGATGCTTTTCCATCTTACAACAAGGTTGTTAATGCCCTTATTAAAGAAAGCACTTGGCTTTCAAGCAAAAAACATGTCGATATCCTCTTTAACACATTCCACATTTGCATACGTTTTCCCATTAAGATGGTGTTGCAGCGAACGATAAATATGGTAATCTGATGGTGATGTGCTATATCTGTAGAATATGGTGGGTGGGGGAGAACTTCCCAACCCAACTCCATAATCTTGTATTGCGTCAAACGTGCCTCATGTGGACATGCGTTGTCGTGGAGAAGAAGAAGAACACCTTTCCGATTGACGAATGAAGAGCATTCCTAATGAAGGTCTTGATTTAAACGTTCCAGTTGCTGACTGCATTGACAGTTCGCTGTGGATTGAGGAGTTCGAAATGAATTACTCCTTTAATGTTCCACCAAATGCAAAGCATCACTTTCTGCGGATGCAGTCCAAGGTTTGGAGTCGGAAGTGGTTTTTGTCTAGGACTCAGCCATTGTTTCTGGCGTTTAATATTCGCATAGAGAATTCATTTTACATCACCAGTGACAATTCTGTCTAAAAATGGTTCACGTGCATTATGCGCCAGAAGAGACGAAGTAACGATGATCATCGGATAGTTCGTGAGGCACCCAAACACCTTCTTTATGGAGTTTTCCCATATTCCTTAGATGTTTATGTATTGTTTCATGAAAGACATGCAATTTTAGGGCCATTTCACCAGTGTGTTGTCTTGGGTTAGACTCAACAAGCGTCTTCAGAGCATCAAAATCATTTCGAATATGTCTGTCCCTGCCATCACAGTTTTTAAGGCTAAAGTCACCCGAACGAAATTTTCTGAACCATCGTTAACACTTACGAGCGTTCAAAGCATTTCCATAAACTTCTTTGATATTCTTTGTGGCTACAGAGGCGTTGTTTCCCTTCTTGTATTCAAACAGCATTACACGCCGAATGTGTGTCTCGTCGTGTGCTATCACTATAAGGGATTAGAGTATACTAAACTTTATACATTATATAGGCTACACTAACGTGACGTTTAGGCAGTTCGTTTAACTATCATATATGATGTACGTTTTTGGGGGGTGGTTAATGAAAGTGTTCTACAACGCGACATTAATTTCTTGACGACCTAATATATTGATACCTTTCCATTATTAAGCACAGATGATTGTGTGGGTGTGTTTGAAGGTGCCCATTGGTTCAACACGCTAGAACTGGCTTGTGAATGTTGGTAAATCAAACTGGACGCCTAAAGTAGACCTAAGACTGTTTTCAGCGTTCAAGATGGAATGTAAAAACTCCACATCATTCATTTGGTCTTTATGATGAATCTGCCACTTTTGAGAAGTTAATGTAGCTTATACTTAAAGGACTTCAATAGGAGAGATCTCACTTTTATGTGAATGGTATATTTGTCATTAGGTAACACGTGCCAATCCATAGCTAAGAATTTCAGGATGATATTGAAAAAACACATCATAGATGCAGGCTTAAAATTGAAACCAGAAACGTGCATGCTTATGCATATGAAAGGTCAGTTTATTGGTCACAAGGTAGTTGATAGAGATCATAACATGCCTTCCAACAAACGAGAAATTTACAGCTTTCTAGATTTAATATTGAGTCATCAAAGATTTGTGGACAATTTTTCCAATGTAGCAGCATTAATGTCTGTACTGACTAAAGTTGAACCACGTCTTGGTTTAAGCTCCAGTTTTGGCTTATCCTCATTGAGACTGTCCACTCATCTTTGGTACAGATGCCAAAGAAGTGAAATTGGTCAGGATTTTGTCACAAGTACAGCATGGTATGGAGAGCATGATCATCTGTGTAAGTCATATGCTGAGTGTTTTTAAGTGCTCATACAGTAAAACAGATAAGAAAATGCTTGCAGCTATAGTATTAATCAAACAATACTAGCACTACTTGTATGGTAGGGACTTCATCAACTGAATGAACCATGTATCATTGAAATGGCTGATGATCTTCAACAATCTGGAAGGTATGGCTGCATGTTGGATAATGATGCTGCGAGACCAAACTTTGCTGTGAAACACTACCCAGGTCAGCAGCATGAAAATGCTGATAAATTATCTCACTAACCTGTGAGTTGCGTCCATTCACTTAACGTCTACACTCTGAACAATATTTAGCAGTTAAAGCCATTACAGCTGCAACGGCAAAGAACCATATGAGTAGTGACAATTCAGCCTTTGGATGGACACTTTGAATGACCAATACTTTGGCCATAGCAACTGAATAATTCAAATATAGCATGAGCACTAATTATTGTGCTGCTAGGTGTCATGTGTCTATCACAAAATGGTGAACATTGTATTGATTCACGCAATATCTAGCTTTTGTATAGGCAGTTACAAGTGCAGGATGGTCTGTTCACTGTAATTATGAGCCACTAAGATGCACCTGAGATGCAGCTTATGCCCAGATCTCTTAGGTAGGAAATACTTTGGTCATTGCATAATGCAAGGACAGGAGTAAACCAGGGGATATTTTGTACTACTTCTAATGTACAAAATCTGGTTTTCTGGTCACGTTTGCAACACAATATTGATTGATGATGTAGACATTGTACATTAGTTACTGCTAAAATGAAAAACTGTTTGAATCAATAAAATTTTCACCAGAGAAAGTCACCCTAAATATGGCTGATTCCCTTCCCAGAACTAAATGAGGTGATTGTTGTTATATGTATGTGGTTGTTGTTATTGATTACTTCACTAAATTGGCTGAAGCTTATCAATCAGCTGACA